GCCACATGTGGCATATCGTTTTGGACCAACGTGCCTCCTCTACCTGCGTATCCTCGGCGCGCGGCGGCGGCGTCATGGGCTCGACATCGATTGGCCCCGCAGCCTGCGAGGCCACATCACGCACACACACACACACACATCACACACTCGCAGTCGGAAATGCAGTGCCGACGGGGCATTGCATTTCCTTCTGCGACGAGGGCCCAGGGTCAAAAAAAGGGAAGGAAGGACGGGAAAAGGACGGGACATTGGATTGAGGTCAAGGAAGCGGGACAAGGAAGAAAGGGGACATGAAGGAAGGAACAGGGTTTGGGTAAGGTTGGGAAGAAGGGGGAGGATGGGAGGCGCAGGAGGACGGAGCAGGGAGCCTCGCAGCTCCTCTCTGCAGCCATCCCGCTGCCCACCGAACGCGAGCGAGGGCGGGCCGTGCTCGGGCGCAAACGCTCGACGCACGGGCGATGACAGATTAAGTCAACGACGACGTCAACGAAACAAAAAATCTCCATGACCATGACACCGACGACGACGAAAGACAACAAAGACGGCGATGGCGGCGATGACCGCGGTGGCGGCGGCGGCGGTGGACGACAACGACGGCGCTGGCCACAGTAATGACGGCCACGTCTGCGGCGACGGCGACGGAAGCAAGGGCGAGTGCGTCGGGCGGCAACGGCAACCCGTCTCGACCTCGCATGCACGCCCGTCTGCCCTGTTCCTGTTCTCCTCCTCCTGTCCTCCTGTTCCTGTCCTCCTCCTCCTGTCCTCCTCCCGTCCTCCTCCTGTCTTATTTTTTTTTGGGTGGGCTGGCGTAGTGAGCGAGCGGGCAGCAAGTACCAAAGGAGAGCACCGAGAAGGCGGGCGGGAGAAACGCACCGAACGAAGTGTGCGAGAGAAAGATACGGCAGCAATGCGTTGATATTTTTAGACGCCAAGACAATGATAACATCATAAAACAACAACTACATAGCAAAAACAACAACTATACAGCTAAAACAACAACAATCCTAAAGTTGTTGAAAAACCACAACTAGAGGACCTCTGGGAGACTGGCGGGCGCCGCGAGCGAGATGAGCGCCGCGGCGACGGCTCGGAGATCCTTTTATTTACATGCGCGAAGGGGGGGTGGCCTCCTGGCGGCCGGCGGCGCGGCCCAGAGCGGTTTGAGCCAAAGACTACAGACCGGCGCTCGTTTGCGTCGGCGGCCGGGCAGAAAGGCGGCTGCTCCGGCGGATGGGCAACGAGGGGCGCGCTGCGTGCAAATGACAATTAAAGGCCGCGCGGAGGAGGCGGAGGAGCCCGCCGACTGCGGCAGAGGGGGGCGCCGAGGGGGGGAACCGGCGCCAGCGCTGAGCTGCGCGGAGCTTCGCTGAGCTGAGGCTGGGGGGGGGCGCAGCCCGGCAGACTGGGCGGCCGGTGGGGGGGGCAACGCATGCGAAACAGAGTCTCGGCCCAGCGAGCCGGCAGACGCTGCCCCGCGGAAAAGCCAAAGCGTCGAGACCTAGGGGCCCGCGAGGCGCGGCGGGAGGCGAGAGGCAGAGCGGTCAGGCACGGGGGCAGCAGAGGCCGCCAGTGAAAGGCGGGCGAGCAGACCAAGGGGCGGGGGAGCGCCGAGACCAGAGGTGCCGACGAGGCGCAAGGCATGGAGGGGGGGGCGCCGAATAGGCGCGTGGAAGCGAACGGGCCGCGAAGGCAGGGGCGGGGAAGAGGGCAGCGACCAGGGCGGCCACTGCCAGGGGCCTGGGGGCGCCAAATTCAGAACGGGTCGAGGTGGCGGGGCAGCTGCTAGAGTGCTACCAGCGGTGGCTGCTAGAGGCTGACCAGCGCCGACGGGCGGGGCCGTCGCTGGGCCAGGAGGAGCCAGCCAGCCGCCTGGCTGCAGAACGCACGCGCGCACGCGCATGCGCAAACAAGCAAACCCACGCACACGTAAGCAAACGCAATTACACAAACACACAGACACACACACAAACACACGCAATCACACACGAACACATACAACAGCTCACACAAACTCGCGCCACCGCACACAAACACACACAGACAGCACACACGACAGCAACATACATACACGCAAGCACGCGCAAGCATACTCACGCAAACATACCTACACACAATAATACACACACCTACCTAACAAACAAACGCATACACACAAACACACTCAACGACACACAGACACAATCACACACACCAACACACAAAAGCACAGACAAACACTCACATCAACACACATAAGCACACGCAGCCACACACAAACACATTCACACACACGTGTGTGTACATATAGACATATGTATATATATATATGTATATATGTATACGTATATATATACACATATATATATATATATATATATATACATACTACCACGCACACACATACCCACACGCAAACAAAGACCCATTCAGAAGCACACACACAATCAGACACAGTCACACACAAACACCCCAACACACTCACACTCGAATTCACATGGACACACGCACAGACATACACATTCCAACACGTACAATACACACGTGTACTCCATCTTTCACAGGCGCACGCACAAACACACACGCACAATCAACAACGCACACACACGAACATACACATGCACACGAACACAAACACACGAGCACACACGCAAACACTTACACACACACACGCACACACACATACATACACGCGTTCACACACATTCGCACACGCACACACACATCCACACGCATGCACACACACGCGCAACCACACACACATGAACACAAACAACCACACAAACACACAAGCACACACGCAGACTCACACACACACACGCGACACACAGACACACACGCACGACCAAACACAACCACAACCGCAAACCTACACACACGAACACGCGCAAACGCACACGCGCACACACGCGCGCACGCACGCGCACACACACACCACGCACCGCACACACATACCCCACGCACGCACGCGCGCGCGTCCGAGCACCCGCGCACCCGCGCACACGCGCACACGCGCACACGCGCACACGCGTACATGCACGCACGCGTGCACGCGCTCATGCGCACCCCCGCACACATACACGCGCACACATTTTAATTTCAAGTGGCACGTGTGTGTCCAGGCTCATACACAAACAACTGAAATGGCGTTTGAAGCAGGAAGACACCATGACGGCGGGATCGGAGATGGAGAAGGGGAAGCTGGGGCGGCGCCGCCAGGGCGTGCCTAAGAGAAGGGGAAGAGGCTCCAGGAGGCCCCAGGATTTTGAGTGCTGTGTGTGTGTGTGTGATGTGTGCTCTTCGTTATGGTTGGTTTCTGTGCGTTGTAGGTGTTGTGTGTGTGTGTGTGTGTGTGTGTGTGTGTGTGTGTGTGTGTGTGTGTGTATGTGTGTGTGTGTTATGTTTGTCTAGCGTGTGATGTGTTGGGTGTGATTTGTGTCTCTGTGTGCGCATGTAGTTCTGAGGCCCCAGGAGGCCCCAGGAGGCCCCAGGCGGCCCCAGGAGGCCCCAGGAGACCCCAGGAGGCTCCAGGAGGCCCCAAGAGGCTCCAGGAGGCCGCAGGAGGCCCCAGGAGGCCCCAGGAGGTTCCAGGAGACCCCCAGGAGGCTCCGCGGCGGGGTCTGGGGTACCAGAAGGTACAGAAAGCTCCAGGAGGCCCCAGGAGGCTCCAGGGGGCCCCCGGGAGGCCCCCAGGCGGGGTCTGGGGTGCCAGAAGGTACGTCGGGGCTCGATTTTGGAAGAATTTTTCAGGCGAAACCGCCATTCTCTGAGATTCGGGTTCAAAAATCATAGAAATTACAATGTTTTTTTGGTGGAAGGTTTTATGAATTCCCATGTGTTTTTGGACCCTGACGTCGCGATCTGTGCAAGGAGTGCCACAGGTTTTCCGAATTTCGAGGATGTCCCTGGCGAAGCGGCCAGAGACATCGCGAACGCGGCGCGTACGCATTAATCGCCTTTGAGCTCTACTCCCTCGGAGAGGTGCGTATGATAATATATATATATATATATATATATATATATATATAT